ATATATATATATATGTTCACAGACGTAAAAAAATCATTCGAGAGTGGCTACGCAAACTCGTCAAGTTGAAACAAAAGAACCGGTAGACGTTGATCATGTTAATAAATTGATCATCAGTGTGAATGATTATCAGTCTAAATGATCATCAGTTTAAATGATTATTAATGTCAAAGAAAACGCAAGTATAATTAAATATATGAATAGATGAATATGAAAATGAGAATAATTAACCTCACTACGTAATAATTATGCAAGATAAGAGAGATAATTCATTATACATTACAATCCTTGATTATACACTATGCTATGCCCCAATAGTTTATACACTCTCATAATTTAGTTTGCACTATTGCAGCTGCCATATTACAATAGTTATCAAGACCTAATGTAACTAACACACAGTTGAAAGCATCCTGACAATTCCAACGAACAGCATGAAGGCTCTCATTTTGCAAATTACTCGGTTTCAATTATTATTATATACAAATCAACGATGTAACAACGGTGTGTACTCTACTTTAAGAAATCAATAAAGAACTTCACTGACATGATTACACAGAAGGAATGTAACTTCGCGGAGTTAAGAAACTCACGCAATTTAGTGTCAGAAGAGTCACCCTTATGTCACTCGATTAATTACGAATTCTGAGACTAATTTAATTTTGGAGTAAAAAATAATAAAGAAGGAAGAGAAGATCTCACGTACGAAACAATAAAGAAGCCTGTCGCAGAATTTTCCAAATGATGACGATAAAAAAGAGAAAGGAAGGAAAAACGTTGCATGCGGTGTTAAACACAAACCAACCAGGAGGTAGTGCGCTGGCAGCCGCGGTTGCCAGATAGTGTCTCTGATAAAGATATTCCCTGTCTCGATCAGAATCCTCTTCGTTCTCGTTTGTTTTTTCCGTCTGCGTTTCTGGATCGCAGCTTACTTTCTGCGTGCCGCAATTGCCGATCAAACTCTCGATCGTGAACGGCTTCGGCGTGGGTCGTCGCGGTAGTTTCGACTCCCCGATCGGTGATTCGAGTTCGTCGCTCGCTGATCCGACGTCCAGTTCCGTTTCCTCTACGTTGGAATCCATTTTTGTTTCCAGGGTTGAAAAGCTTTGACGACGTTAACGATCTACCGTTCCATAATTTTTAAGATTTCTATATAGTCACTCTTCGACGCGCGACTCGACGAATTCAACGATTCTTCGAGAGAGATCTCACTTTTCCTGGCTTTCGTTTACATGATATCCTCTTCTGGATTTTAAATATTTCTGCCTGTCGACTTATGTATTTAATAGTGTTGAATTACGCCGCGGTGGTTTCACTCGATTATAAAACTCGGCATGAATATTTATTACTTTATTGAAAGTGAATTTATGAATTCTAAAGAGAAGTCACGGTGCAAAAGTTGCATTCAGATTGCGTATTATATGAGTAATAAACGATATTCGTAATTGTACATATATGTATTAAGATGTTTACGTGCATCGATGAGTTCATCATCAATGTGTGCTCGTAACTGCGAAATAGCTTATTTGTAAATATTCCTTTGTACAATGATAATTTTCGTTGCAAAATACTGTTCTTGTGATTCGTGTAAATATGCACTTTGTTTTTGGTACACTGAACATAGAACGAGGGAGTTACAAGTACACTTTTACTAGTCTAATATTCTTGCGTGCAGAATGTTTTCAATTAAATGTCACTTATACACATTATTACAGTCTTCTATAGGAATTTAACGTCCTCGAGGTACAATTTGACGTACTTCGGAGGTACTCCAACTTTTGAAGAAACACGAAAACTTAAATTTGTCAGATTAAATGCTCACTTCTCCGCTTGCAGAACGGTGATCGACAGAGGCAGTCTGCGATTCATCGTGAATTTGTTTCAGCTGTGTCTCAAAGTCAGAAATATCCAAAAGGATGTTTCCTCAAGTCCAAGCGATACATATCCTCCTTTTCAGTTTCCGGAACGTCTCCAAGGATCTGTGACAATCAAGACCTCCTGTTTGCCAAACTCCATGCTCCAATGCCCGACGTCAATGTTCCCAAAGAAATCACCGAACGGAGGAACCACACTTGTAACCACGAAATTCCAAGCCGAGCGACTCGGTCCCCTTTTCCAGGAACCTTTTTACCCTTTCGTTGCCATGCCGCGTTTATACGCGCTCTTGAACGCGAGCAGTGGAGAGCCAGCGGGGAGAAGAGACCAAGAGAGAGAGAGAGAGAGCGAGAGCGAGAGAGAGAGAGGGAGAGAAAAAGAGAGACCAAAAAAAAAGCACGTGGAGAAGACCGTACGGGGCACGAGTCGACGGGTAACTGGCGGCCAGCGTCGAGACGCATTTCAATTGCTGGGCCACGTCCCGGACGCGCCGACTCGCCGCGGCGTGGCTGCCTGGCATGGTCGCGTAACTGCACGAACTTGGTTTAACCGTGGCTCCGATTGGTCGTTCCTCGAACCAACAGCGTTCACGGACGCGCCTACCGATCTGCGAACCGCCATCTTGATGCCGTGACCGCTTTTGTCCTTTGGTGGTCGCGAACCGCCGGCGTGATCCAGCTTGGACCAAGGATGAATTTCACCCGCACGTCGGCCGGATACTCTGCCATCGATTCTTCCCCTGGTTAATTGCTCCCTATGACGAACTGCCCGCCCGTGTATTTCACTCGGGGCTCGACGCGAGTGGTTCCCTCGGCTCTTCTCGCTCTTCTTTTGTCGGCCCTCTTTTCGCCAGGGGTGGTTTCGTTTCTTTCTCTTTTTTTTTAATTCTGCGAGAGCGATCACCAGAGGCACGTATATTCGTGGAATTATTCGTGAGAAATTTGCAGCAACGAACACCCATTGATCAACCCCCGTGGAAGCTCCGAAATAATTAATTCTGTCAAGGTTTTCGAAGCGGAGCATCGATCCTTCGAGCGTCGATCCTTCGAAATTTTGAAATTTTATTTCAACGACAGCTTTCGATACTTCCTCCAGACCGATTGTTAACCGAATCGTCTACCTACGTCCCCGGATACCGCAACATCGAACTGTGGATCAATCCTCATCGAAGAATGAGAACCACAGTGGATAGAGGGACTTGTAGACTAACTTACACCGAGGAGATTGATTCTCGCGTTGAGGCGAAGTACGTATCTCGACGACGCTGAGAGGATTGACATGAGGAAGAGTACACACATCATTATCCCGCGAGTGGATTGGCTCGCGCTAAGATCGGTCGGATAACCGTGCTCGTTAAGGAAGAGCCTAGTGCGGGGGTGGTACGGGAGAGAGCAACATAATGGGAGACACGTTCATCGGCGGCACTCGCCCGGCGAACCGATAAAAATACGAGGGACGCGCGGTTGATGGGCTTATGGTAACGCTTACGGTGTTGAAAGCGAGCTGGGCTCGTTAACGCTGATCGCTATGCATGCTCGTTATGACGTAAATACACCCACGTGACCGGTCGCGTCTAATAACGCGCCGATTATGCACATGCGAGTCGGACCACCCAAAGTAGCAGCGAATTTTGATGAACGTTAATTCGATGAATAAGAGATCGGCTGCCGTTAATTTCCGAACGGCCGTTAATTTGTCGTTTTCTTATTTTTCTTTGCTGAGCTTTTGAAACATCGTCACTGTTTTCTCAAAAGACATTCTTTAACATCTTTGATCAACGACTATAAAATCTCCGTGAGACAAATGGAGAAAATAAAAGAAAATGCACTGTTGTTAATTTATAAATGTAAAACTATAAGAGAGAGAGAGAGATGACGAAAGGATGCAATTACTCACTCGCGTGTAATTTGCCATTCGCCGCGAAGAACCCAGCGACAGGTTACACCCATTCTCGTGGTTTCTCTATTTGTAGGCGTTCCCGTGCCGAGCTAATCGGTACATCACGCTAATAGTGATGCTATTTCGGTACTCGTTAGCGCGACACGAGTCTAATTGAGCCTTACAGAATCTAAAGTTAAACGGTTGGTCGTTATACGAAGGCGCAACAAGGCCATGTATCATCGTGCTCGTTGCAAACGACAACGACCTTTCAAAGGGCTCCAAAATTATGCGATCAATTATCATTGACTCGTCGATCAATACTTGAGCGCAATTAAATTTTTATCGTTTCGTTTCACTTCCCCCCCCCCCC